TCTGCCTCTGGAGTACTGGGATTAAAGGCGTGTGCCACCATTGCCTAGCTGCTGCTGCTGCTGTTGCTTCTCTTCCTCCTCCTTCTTCTCCTCCTTTTTTTGTTTCGTTCTTATGTCTTATGTCTCCAGGTTCCCTATCAAATCTGCCTGTCCTAAGGCTCCTAGCCACAGATCCTCTTTCCATTATGCACTTTTATACTTTATACTGCTTCGAGGGAGTCTCCCTTTTTCAGTGTGGTTGAATACATTACCCACAGTACTGAAATTTAAGTTTCATGAGATCATTTAACACACTTTGAAATTTCTGTCATCATCAATAATGGGTATTGTTGCTTAAATACTGGGATTAACATCAAGGCTTTTTGTTTAGGATGCAATGTTTCATATTGCTAATTGAGAAACCTAGTGCCAGATAAAATAAACTTTTTGTTAGATAGCTGTGATTTTAATCTGCCTAACTCCAAATCCACACATGCTTTTTACACACTGTTACTGAATTATAAGTCATTCACTCTCATTTTCTTATTGTACTTGTCAAAAATTCAGACAAGGTTTGTCTTTAAGAACTTGGGTGATTCCAAGTTAAATTTCAGGAGCAAAGCAGAGGGAAGGGGGAAAATTTTTTTTTTTTTTTTTTTTTTCCAGGTTGTACTGGATAGTAGCAACTTCCATGGTTCATATGCTGTATACAAGAGTTAACTCTTGAGCACATGAGCAATGGCATGCACAGGAATATCTTCGGAAGTAACTCTAGCCATGAGCCCTTCCCAAGGACATGTGCTGGAAAGGCCATTTTAGGAACATCTGCATCAACTAAACAGGGCATTTTCTTTTTAAAAATTAATTTGTGCAGTATATTTTGGTCATATTCCTCCCCACCCCCAACTCTTTTCAGACCCCCATCTAATTTCAAGCACACACACATAACAAAACAACAACAAAAAAGACAATACCAAAGCATGGAGTCTGTATAGTGTTGGACAACTATTCCTGAGCATGTAGCTTGCCTCTAGGGTAAATGGCACTTAAAGCATTTTTCACTACAACTATTCAACAACGATTAATTTCTGCTGAACACCTGCTGTGCTCTTGTCCCTTCCTTTGCTTCTTCCTATAGCACTTGTTGACTCTTGTGAATACCAAGATGATGAGAAAGTTTCAGGGAATGGGCTAAGTAGAAAATGAGAAAAAAGTTGTAAAGGAGTACTGTGTAAACAAAAACTCAGGAATGGAGAAGTCAAGAAAGATAAATCCCAGCCCTGTAGGGCTCCATAAAGATTCCAAATGCAGTCATATTAGTACATTAGACATTGCAGTAATGTATGGAATGTTATTTAAGATAGAAGCAGAAATGAAAAATTGTTCCCTTTGGGGTCTATATTAAGCAGAGATGGCACTGAATGACTTTCCAAGGAGTCTCCCAGCCTTACGATCCAGTACAACACGAAGCACTAGTACTTGAGGTCTGGGGATGTGGTTATACAAAATCCTAAAGGAAATTTAATCCTAAAGGAAAATACGTAGCATGGCTTTTTGGATGATTTTGAAGAATGTTAGCATGAAGCTTTATTTGACTCTCCTTTCTTTGTTTATAGGAAGATGACTCATGTGAGTCTAGCAAAGAAAAGCGGAAAGTGAAAAAGAAAGCATCTCCTGGGGGCGTGTTTGTGAGAAGGTACTAATAATTAGTGTAATAAGGTCAAACAAACAGTTGATTTCCCCTTCATGATATAACTGCAAATCAATAAAAATCCTAGATATGAAGCTGAAAACGACATGGACTCAGGTAGATACTTTTCATATACATATACATGCAAGCCAACATTTATGAATAATAATTTTGTAAGTATTTACATAAACTGAAATATAAGATAAATTAATAGTCAAAGGAAATCCAATTCTAGGAAATAAAAATTACTAAAATGACACTATGGCTTTATAATAAAGTTTCTCTCTCTCTCTCTCTCCTCTCTTTTTTTTTTTTTTTTTTTTTTTGGTTTTTCAAGAGAGGGTTTATCTGTGTAACCGTTCTGGCTGTCCTAGAACTCTCTTTGTAGCCCAGACTGCCTCGAACTCACAAAGACCCACCTGCCTCTGACTCTCAAGTACTGGGATTAAAGGTGTGCACCATCATGCCTGTCTAAAGTTGTATTTTTTTACTGTCTAGAAAGTTCTATTTACCACTATTAATGTGCATATAGTTTTAAGAGTTTTGTTCTTTGTCAGGTATTACAGTACACACTCTAAATCCAGCAGTTAGGAGACTGGGGAAAGAGTATTATGAATGTGTAGGCAGCTGGGCTCCAGAGTGACTGTCTCGAGATGCACATGCATGCATATATGCCCCTAAACGCACCCACCCACCCTGACAAAACATTTCATTTATTCAAATGACTTAACTTTTACAGAGCATCTAGACTTGGAAGAATTTTTTTTTAAAATTTTATTTGTTATATATAGTGTTCTACCTGCATGTTTGCCTGCATACCAGAAGAGGGCACCAGATCTTATTTTAGATGGTTATGAGCCACCATGTCGTTGCTGGGAATTAAACCCATGACCTCTGGAAGAGCAGCCAGTGCTCTCAACCTCTGAGCCATCTCTTCAAACCCGAAAATTCTTTTTAAAAAGTTTTTACACAGAACAGCTTTTTTTTAAAACTAGCAAATGTCACTCAAAAGCTTTACATGAGAGAAAATCTATTCTTGTAAAAAGCCTGAGCTAGACCTTTGCTAAGAACACTTTCTTAAATACTTTGTTTCAGAATTCTGCCTTTAGTTAAGCAGACACAGAAGGATGAAAACATGGCTTGTTTTCTCCTTTTCCCCATAATCTCTTGAATTTAGAGACTTTGTTTTTTGTTGACTAAGAAACAGCTATGGTTTTGATTTAGTTCCTAAACATTCCCATTCTATTCCTCTTTCTTCCTATGGGGAGCCAGCAAGCTGTGTGGTGGCTATTTTAACCTGGTGTCATCAGGATCTGTTGGTCCCAAGAACCTAATTGCTGACATCAGATCAGGCTAATCAAAATCTATAAGCAAGTGGTAAAATTGGTTTGGCTGGGATGGGGGTGAAGAGCAGTTGGAAAAGTGCTTGCCTAGCATGCATGAAACTCTAGCTCCAATATCCAGCATCACATAAAATTGGGCATGGTAGCACATGCATGTAAGTGTATCACTTGGGAGGCTCAAGATTATTCTTGGTTATAGCTAGAACTACATGAGACTCTTTCAAATAAAGACACCAACATACCCTTTATCTCCTGTATAGTTTGTATCTTAAAAATTGGCAGGATTACTTTGAGTTAAATTTATTTATTCTTAAAAAGCCTTTGCCAGGAAGGGCATTATGAAATCTTGTTGAAATGCTTAGCATTTTCAATCTGGATAGAGAACTAAGATGTAAAAAAGAATATGGAGAGGATGGAGAGATGACTCACCTGAGCTTGCATGCATAGCGCCCTTGTAAAACCTGGGTATACAGCCTGTGTTGGTAATCCCAGCCCTGGGGGACAGGGACAGATGGAGTCCTGAGGTTTGACAGTTTAGCTGAAATGGTAAACCCCAAGTTTGGGGGGTAAAAGAGGAGAAGGGTGTGAAGGAAGAAAGAGTGGAGGGGGGAGAGGGAGAGGAAGGGGGAGGCAGAGGGAGAGGAAGGGAGGCAGAGGGAGGAAGGGAGGGAGGGAACACACACACACACACACACACACACACAGAGAGAGAGAGAGAGAGAGAGAGAGAGAGAGAGAGAGAGAGAGAGAGAGAGAGAGAGAATCCTGTCTCAAAAAAGTAAGACACAGAATGAATGAGGAAATAAGGAAGATACCCAATGATGATGATGCTTGCATATCTGTATATACATAGCCCAAAACAACACCCCCCCCAAACAAAAACCAAGAAAAATGTAGAAGAAGACTGGGTAACAACAAAAGGAAGGACAACAATATAAATTTGAATTTCCTTTTTGTTCAGGAGGTTCTTACCCCTAACTCTCTGAGATGGTTATGTGTGTGTGTGTGGTATGTGTGTATGTTATGTATGGATATATATATATATATATATATATATATTGCTGAATTTAAATGATTTATTGAGGAAGTCTGTTTCAGTCAATAAATCTGAGATGGGTTACTGTGAAATAGTTTTGAGAGGTGAGAGTAAGTGCCGGGGAACAGAGGTGGCAGTAGAACACCTGATCAGCCAGCATGCATTAAGTCTTAGGCTCAATCCCTGTTGACAGCAAACAAACCACAAACCACAATTGTTGCAGAATATTCCTTTACACTGTGTGAAGATGTGTCACTGTGATTGGTTTAATAAAGAGCTGAATGGCCATTAGCTAAGGAGGAAGAGGTTAGGTGGAACTTCTTGGGAGACAGAGAAAGAAAATTCACCAGCCAGAGCGGAAGCAGGATGGGCTGTACAGAGTAAAGGTAACTGAGCCACATGAAAGAGCATAGATTAAAAGATATGGGTTAATTTAAGTTATAACAATTAGTTAGGAAAAGCCTAAGGTAAGGCCGAGCCTTCAAAATTAATAATAAGTCTGTGTCTTTTTTTTTTTGAGCTGGCAGCCCAAAGAAGAATTTGTCTATACAAAATAAAATACAAAACCCACTCCTCAAACAGCTGTACATATGAAAAAATAAAAAGATATAATAGAGTATCTTTATAGATTTCAATAGTAAGTATAACACATTTGCAATGAGATACACATTATTTTAAAATTTATTATTCACTAAAAAAACTCCACTCACATAGGAAGTCACTTAGAAAATCCAACCAACTTTGTAGTATTTTATATATAAAAAAATTTAACTGCAATAATAAGCAGGGAAGTAAAATTCAGTAAGTATATAGTCTATGGAATTGTTTTCAAGTATGCAATCTGATAACAAATCCTACTTCATTTACAAAGCTACAAAGCTCAAATGAAATGTTGCTGTAGTTATCAAAAGGATAAGGACAAAATGTCCTTTTATCTCAAACCAGGCTTTGGGAGACAGCTTTTCAACATAATAAAGTCATATAACCTAAAAATAAAATATCCAAACACTTCTATTTAGTCGATGAGTACTTTGAAGAATATGTAGAAAGTACAGTTTATGGAGTGATCAGCAGCAAGAGGAGTGTCAATATTCCTTCCAAAACCGATAAAACCCCAATGCTATTGCCAAGCAAGTGAACACCGAGGCTGTGGAAAGAAGAAGCTATGTTACAAATTATAGTTTAATTTCAGGTAGTAAATACTGATTAAATGAACAGAAACAAAGAATCAAATTTATATTCCATGTTTTTTATTCCCTAGAAAATTAAGCTAAGGATAAAAAGGCATTTGTAAAGCAAGACATACATCGATAGCTTCCTGTATTTTAGAAAGTAAAAATGAAAATAAATTAAAAATATAGGTGTCATGTCAGAAAATGTAAGTAGTACTTCACAGTTACTAGCATTGTGTCTTAGGGTCTCTATTGCAGTAATAAAACCATAACTAAAGCAGCTTGGGGAGGGAAGGGTTTATTTTATCTTACACTCTCAGGTTACACTCCATCACTGAGGGAAGTCAGGATGGGAACTCAAGGCAAGAACCTGGAGACAGGAACTCATGCAGAAACCATCTTACTTACTGGCATACTCAGCCTGTGTTCAGCCTGTCCAGAGGCTGGTGGCATTACCGCAGTGGGCTGAGCCCTCTCACATCAATCATTAATCAAGAAAATTCCCTGTAGGCTTGCCTACAGGCTGACCTATGGAGGCATGTTTTCAATGAAGTTTCTGGGCACAGATGGCATGTACCTATATTTCCAGATACCTGGGAGGCTAAGCCTAGAAGTTTTGGGCAAACTGAGAGCCAAATCCTACCATGCCTGATATTTGTGAATCTTCAATAAATGGGAACTTATTGTTTCATTAGCAACACCTCAGGTATTCTAGGACAAATAGATGCACTCATGCCATATGTTCCTACCTATTTAAAACTATGTAATTGTGGCTTCCTAAAATGCTTACCAACAGTACAAAAATATATTTAGAGGAGGAGGAATGAGATAATGCCTTAGCATTAATGGTTCCAAATCCTCAGTCAAAAGAAAGAAGGATGACTCAGTAAAGTCTTTATTATTTATTTTTATGTATACATGTATTATACATGTATGTCTGAGAACCATGTGTGTGCTTTGTGCCTGTGAAGGCCAGAAAACGGCACTGGATCCCTGGGACTGGAGTTACAGATGGTTGTGAGCCACCATGTGGGTGCTGGTAATCCTTTAAAAGAACAAACAGTACCCCTAACCACTGAGCCTTCTCTCCAGACCTAGGAAAATCTTTTTTTAAAACAATTGCTAATTTGCTTATTTCTTACTACTAAGTCTATTTGCCTTGTAGATATAAAGTGCTGAAGGAAAGCTTTTTGGAAAATGTCATGTCAACATTTCAACTTGGAGGGTAAAAACGGGTTTGTTTTTAACTATGGTATTCTTTAAGTAAATATTCAAGAGAATATTAGGTAGAATTTGAAATCATTCCTTTGTTGCTTTGGGACTGATTTTAGACGAGAATGAACATTACAAATGGCTGTTGGAATTTCCCTTAGCATTACAATTAAGTTCAAGACCTTCGGTTCTATAGACTTTTCTAGAGTAGGGGTTTCCTTTTTCTTTCTTTTTTTTTTTTTTAATTTTTCAGGACAGGGTTTCTCTGTGTAGCTTTGTAGACCAGGCTGTCCTTGAACTTGCAGAGATCTGCCTGCCTCTGCTCCCAAGTGCTGGGATTAAAGATGTGTGCTACCACAGCCCTGTAAATAGGGGTTTTCAAACCTAGCTTTATAATTACTTTTTAATCTGAATTTTAAGCAGGAACCTAATGTTAAAAGATAAAAAACAGAGTCCTCATAGTTTAGAAAGAAGGAGCTACATATCAGTTGAGGGCTGACTTACTTTATCTTCTAACTTGTCACATCACCAC